TGTTAAAGAAACTTTGCCAGGAATTCTACGTAAAATATTAATTATATTTACTCTTTGTTCTTTAAAGTAACTAATGACCATATCTTTAACTTGATGACGATCAGGAACTTTGTAACGTATATCAAACATGTTGATCATTTCAATAAATTTTTTATTTCCAACGATGCTAAATGGTTGTTGGTCTACAATTACCCAGGTGATTAAAGCAGTATCACGGTCTTTTTTTTGCTTCTCGGGCCATGGATCAGCACGATCAAATGATAGCTTTGATTGGTAAGATTTAATTTTTGGGATTTTAATATTATGTCGACTACTCAAATGTCTTTCTAAACTTGAGTTTCCAGTTTTATCCGAAAATTTGGTACTGCATTTCTTGCATATTGGGTTATTAGGTTCTTCAGCTTTAAATTCAAAATAAGACCATAAGGGCGATGGTTTTCTTGTATTCTTAGTCAAGGTCGATGAAGTTGTTGAAGTCGAATTAGTCTCTAACTCTGAAGAGGTCAACGCATCATACATTTCATTTTCATTATAATCATAATAATCAGTATTTTCAGAATCTATGACAATAGATACGTCGGGATCAGTAATAATAGATGAGTCAGGATCCATAATAGTAATATATTGTGAATAGTCACGAAGAGCAAACTGCTTGCGGTTTATGATAAGAGACTTAAATATATATTTTTTTTGATTTTACTTGATTAATACTATCTCTAAAATTTACAGGTTTACACAAGGCTTGAATCTTTAGAATTTAGTTTGAGATTCTTTAACGCATAATGCAAATGGTTTCGCAACTTTTGGGGATTTTCACAACGCAAAAACATGTTTATCTTGGATCTTCAGAATTTTAATGAATAGTGCTATAATTTTCACGACCCAAAGACATGTTTATCTTGAATCTTTAGAATCTGGTTGGAATCTTCTTTAATGCATAATACAATAGTATCGCAACTTTTGGGGATTTCACAACGCAAAGATATGTTTATCTTATAAAACTTCCTATTTTACTATGACTATGACTAATGATTTTTTTTTTATTCTTACCCAATTTTCAAATTACTAATGATGCAATATATTGGGCGGCAAATTTTGCGCAATTAGCACAAAAGTAAATCAGGCTCCAACTGGCATCACGTAATCCCTGATATGAATCTGATTTGAAACAGGTAATTGGCAGGTATAGGAGACTTTTAAGATACAAATTGGGCTCATATTCGCGTTCAATACATATCGGAATGCTGATAGCTTTCTAGAAAGTTTGGCATTCTGATATGTATTGAACGTCTATATGAGCCTGATTTGTATCTTAAAAGTATCCTATATCTGGGATTACGTGATTCCGATTTACTTTTATTCAACCTGTGTAGTTTATAAATTTGTGTTTTATACGCTCTTTTGAACTATATAATTAATTACTTTTTATTTTTTTAATGACCTCTTTTTTTTGTTACCCGAATTTGGTAATCCCTAATATCAGGTTTCATATTCGATAGCGATGGGATCATTTCTTGTTATCTAAATTTAGCAACTTCTAATTCTATAGCAGATCTCACCTTCTATTATGTATTCTACGATTTTTTGTTTGATCTTGTTTTTATATCAAGATGTGAGTGTTGTCAAGTTGAAGTTTGTAAATGTAAAACCTGTGCATATGAATAATTTTCGTGAACTTGAGTACTGGAAAATTGAATCACATGCTGTATACGATCAGTTAATCTTACGTGGTCGACAAGTTAAATAATAAAATAAAATTTAAATTTATTAATATTTTCTTTACTTTTAATACAAATAGCAGATAAAGAAAT